CTACTCGCGTAAACTATAGACAGTATTTAATATTACTAATATCACAATATTATATCAAAGCCAAACCTTTTCACATTATCATATGATTTTGACATTAGTATCGCCAATCCATTACTTTCGCGTATTGAAATAAGTAGCAAATTCAGAAAAACATGTTTGGGTTAGACTGGTCTTTTTGAAAGAATTATATCTCGGTATTCCAAGCAAGATATAGACATCATGGAGAGGTACTTGGGATTTTGGTGCTAATCCGTCATTGTAAGCTGCGCAAGAGCGTTGAGAATGGCGCTATTGGTAGATGAATGAAAGAAGACTCAGATTAGGTAAATAATAAATGTTAAATAATTTTAATTTAAATAATTAGAGTTAGACAAGTGTCCAAGACCTAGAAAACACTTAGCAGGAATACCTCCAAGATACCCTATTATGCAAAGAGCATGCTGCAACTTACTATAGTAAAAATTCCTTTATCGCTCGTAATAAGGAAGCGATATTGCATACTGCGATGTTCTAAGGGACCATGACATCTCCGGTCGTTCACCCCGCCCAGTGATCTTTATGCCGACCTACAAACTTGTTGATAATACGTGGTATTACGTCGTTAGTCGTTACGGAAACAAAGGTGTAATGGATGTGAAGTACATTGAACAAGCGAGACTTCTTTCCTGTGTACTTTTATTCTAGCACGAGAACCGGTAAGTATAATGTGAGGTGAATAAGTTGAGGCATAGGGTAGACACATTTCTTAGTCTGTTTGGCTAATTAATTTTACTTACAGGTTGTATATCTGAAACTATTTATTAGTTGAGGCTATGCATACAGCCACTGAGCTGCTGCTTTCACTGTTGTATTTGATTTGTCATATGAAGTATTTCAAGTAAAATTTATTACTTTGTGACTTAATCGTACAAGATCGATATATACTGTCGCGGAAATAATGTACATTATACAAAGAATATTTTTTTCCGTTTTCGGTATATTGACCAGTCTCAGCGTACGCAACGGAATCCTTCAACGAAGAATAATGTCCCCCGTTTCTCGACCTTCCCCACTGTTTCGTCGCACTTACTGGTCCAAGCCTGATGTTTTATAGCCTTCCTGGATAAATGATCTAACTAACACAAAAATCCTTTTTCAATTTGTACCGGAAGTTCCTGACATTCAAAGAAACAAACTTCGCTGTCTAATATTAGTATAGATTTAATAGATCATAGTTATCAATGTTTCCACAGACCCATACAGACAATATTCTTAATGGATTTGCAAATATGAAAAATAGGACGTCGCGTGTGTCGTTCTAATGAATTAGTAAATCGAGGCGTGTCTAAACTTTCGCGGTGTGAACGATATCTATAGTGTATTCTTGCCTAAGTGCCTCTTTCATATTCATTCTCATTCATTAGTGAAACATTTTCACGTCACGCCATTGATACTTTGTAATGAGTTAATAATTAGTTAACACGCTTCGTGATCACATAACACTTGTCAACACCTTTATTTACAATCGTAGAATCTTCAAATTTGTTACTGCATAAGTTCCAATCGACCAATTACTTAATATTAAATACTGTCTATAGTTTACGCGAGTAGTACACATTTAAATAAAACACTTTAACGGTTTAAAACGCGATATATTAGTTAAACTTATTTGAAAATGACGTGTCTCCCCGTGACCACGGCTGCTGCGAAGCATCCGAAACGTCGGGCCGAAGTTAAAAATCATTTTCAAATAAGTTTAACGTAAACCCACAAAAATGATAAATCTTCACATACCCCGCTGTATCTTGGCTCGCATTGGTCTCATCGCAATATTTTATAGCCTAAACCTCGATAAATGGTCTAACCAACACAAAAATAGTTTTTCAATTTCCACCTGTAGTTCCTGAGATTAGCACGTTCAAATAAACTTCTTAGTTTTATATATTAGCATATGTGGAATATGTTAGGAAATAATAATATATTTCGGCTGTTCTATGTTTGCAGAGCACTCCGTGTGAGGGCAAACGGCAAGTCTGTCATGAGCTGAGTCAGAAACTGCGAAGTTGAAAATAGTTTCGTCCCAAATTACCAGATGTTTAAGTTCCATATATCTAGTTGCTAACGGAGTTCAAATAATTAGGCAAGCTACGAAGGTTTATCTAATTTCGACTGAAATACATCGGCGTATGGTTGTCATGGACACATTTATATTGAAATTAATTCATTTAAAATAACATAATATTTTTTACTAAATGAGGTAAAAATACAAAGACACACAGATAGATTTGTTCTAGACGGTTTGTTTCTCAACACAAAACTTATCGCAAAACTCGACATACATCGACATCGGTGAACAGAAATCGAATCTTGAACCTAAAAGTTCAATGCCACTATAATAACAAAGCACTAATTAATCCATTAATGGCTTCGACTGTAACGTGTCATTGACTCGGTTCGAATTGGCAAACAGATGCCAATATTATCTTGGAGGCTTATTCCTCATCCCAAGTGCTTATATTACTCGGGCTAAAATCGTCTGAAAACAGTTGCCCTATATTCGAAGTCTGGGAACTGCAGGAATTAAAATTATAATAATAAATGGTTAATTGAGAGCCGTGTGGTTTTCCATTAAATCAGAAATCAGAAAGAAAGAAATGTACTTACTTACTTACTTATAAGCCACACAAGAACATATATGAGACAAATTACTAAAAATAAAATATAATGTGATCTTAACAATATAACTTAGTCTCAATAGTATAAAATAATGTTGCGTGCGGATGGACCTAGGTGGTAGAACAGGATCTTACTCAGCTTATATCAGGCCTTTTGTTGACAAAAACGATTTCGGTAAGTCCTTAGAGCCAACGTTTGCGATAATCAAAAAAACCTTTGTTGTCAGTACTTGACGTGATTTTAATTGTAATAAATTTGCGTAGGAGGCTCAAATCTCAATAGGGGAATGCGTCAAGATAGGATTTATCATTTAGATAAACAATTGTAATTTCCTTTTAATTGTTTTAGTCGCGGAGCATAGAAAATATACAAGTATAGACACAGTGTGCCTAATGAACCAAGTTGTTGAAAAAGAAACAATAGGGGCTTGTTGGTTTAATGGTAGCCATGTATAGCTAACGATCAATGGGACGTGGGTTCGATCCCCACCAGGTCCAATGTTCTAATTATTTAATTTATATGCTTTCTGACACTTGGACTTCGTCTGGACACCTGGATATTAAATGGGTGGTAGAAATATAGAAATTCCGTCTCAGTCACGAACCACAGTCCAAAGATGAAAAAAGCCGTGAAGCTTAATCGCATTTTAGTTTCAGTCTAAGGAATTCCGAATATCTAAAGCCAAAATAGGTCGACAACGCATTTTGTTAGATGGTATAGGTTTGGGTATATCACCTACCATCAAGTGACGCCACTGGCCTATTCTATCATAAAAAAATGAGCCTTGAGTTTTTCGTTTATTTACCATTCTATTGTTTCGAAGAAGGTTATCTTCATCCCAATTTATATGTGATGTAATGTAAGTAGCTTTAGGATTGACGTATACAAAAAACCTCTAACCACAAATAAATAACCTCCATGGGAAACCAGAGACCACGAATCCCTATAAGGCTGGGAAACAGGAGGAAGTTAACATATCAATTGACGTACTGTACGACTCGAGAACTTAAGAAAACTTCCTCTTTGACAGAATAACAAGTTATTGGTTGATCTAACTTGTACCACTGTGTTTGTACGTATTAAGTTTTTTTCTATTATACGGTAATTTAACGGTTCATTTAAGTTATTATTTGAATTTAGAGAATTTTTTTTGAAACAAACCTGACCCGCCAAAAAACGAACGTGCAATGCTATTGTGCATATCTGTAAACCCTTTTTTTTCTTTTTCGTTACAAATCTCATTAAAGAAAAGTAACACCTATAAATTCTTGTTTAGTGAATAGTCACTGATATCATCATCCAATATTATCATGATTCTATGAAACTGATAACTGCAGTGAAAGTTGCGTTATCGACTCCAGAATGTTATCACTGATATTGTGGTAACGGGGTTATGTTAGATATGGCTGGGTTTTGTCATTTTGGCCAAATTTTGTATTTCACATTATTTGAGTCAGTGGCAAATAAGGTTCGAGACTAGGTTGCTGGAAAGAGATCTGTAATAAACGATGTTTAAAAAAAAAACTATAAGACATACAGCACAACACAGAAGTAGGTTTGCTGTTTTTAAAATAGATTTGTGAAACGGCCATAGACAGAGGTCTATTATAACAAATATATAAAATAAATTTCATTTAAAATGTCTGAGTAAAAAATGATTAAAAGTTAATAGAACATTATAATAAATAGGTAGGTAACACAACAAAAAGTAACAGCGGCGTTGCCGCGCGGTGGGACGCAACGCGACGCGACGGCGCATTTCCCCTACACCCGCGCGGCAGAGCACGCTCGTCGTCGTTCTTATTATTACCATGAGTTTAGTGAATGCGAGACAATTTCCTATTCACAAAATTATTCGACGTATCATTTAACAGATAATTTTAAAAGCCTAACTACGTCTGGATAAACGACAGTAAGTAACAAAAAATTATTGTAAGAAAATTACCGTTTTTAGATTTAAAAATATATTACGACACAGGGAGGACTTGAACCGACATCCATCCGTTCTGTGCTTTGGCTCTAAGGTAACCAATTCAGCGACCGTATCCTACACGTTATTGTTGTTTGACCTATAGACAATTCTTTAGTTTTTGACGGTAAACGCAATTAGTTTTTTATTTTATTAAAACCTACAATGCTTAACTTAAAGAAATCATTCAATTCAAATATATTCTAGCACCTCAATTTAAGCTTCATTTATATCCAAATGCACGCTAAAAATATCCCACTATATTAGAATCTCATACACACAGCAAAAAACCGCCATAACGGACGCGTTCCCCCGCCGCTGCGGTGAACAGCTCGTCAGTCGCTCGATAGCCGCTCTACTGAACCGTACGTGTACGATGCTACAGTACGAATACGAGCCAGAAATGCTGATCGAAGCCGTGAAAAAACGCCCGGGACTGTGGGACTACGACAATCCCGACTATAGGCTCAAAGCGCTTCGCCATAAGCTATGGGTGCAAGTGGTGAAGGAAGTGGCCGGGACCGACGCAGATATCTCCAAGAGCGACATGCGCGAGTTAGGTGAGTTAATATGACATAAGGCGACGCGCTTAATGCAGCGCGTGCGCATAATTAATTTGTAACATGTTAGCTATAAGTAAGCAAAATTTACTAACAATACCTAGTATTAAAACGATTTTATACAATTAAATGTTTTTTAACAAACATGTAATATCTACATTTTTACTAATTTGCCGCTTCGGTTGTACCAAATAAACCAAAACAAAGTAACACACTTACTAAAGTTTTAAACTTAAATAACTTTACTTCATTCCAGAATTACAACTGCAAAAGAAATGGAAGAGCATCAGAGACAACTTTCAGAAGTACGTCGCGAATCCGAGCCGCACTAGGAAGCCGTACGTCTACTGTAGGCACTTGGAGTTCCTCTTAAAGAGACGTAAGACCAAGAAGGACGGAGAAAACGAGCAACCAGAAATACCACCTAGAGCTTGGAAGACGGTGAGAAAGATAAAACTTACAAGGGTGAGCTCAGACGAAGAGCAGGACTTCTATTATGATGATCTGCCGCAAGAGCCTTCGGAGGTGGAAATCACGCCTACGAAGCCAACAGATACAGAGTTCGTTTTCGCAAGCGTGGACGGCAATAACAAACCGGCGAGCGAAGGCAACGACGACTCAGACAAAATGTTCCTTCTATCCCTGCTGCCCCATCTCAAGGCCATACCGGAGGAGAACAGATTAGGCGTCAAAATGGAGTTGATGCAAGTACTCCGAAACTCTACAAACACGTGATGGTGGGGGGTGGGTTTTGGTACAATTTTGGGACGTTAAAGTGATCAATTGTTGAATTATTATTGTTTTCACACGTTTAAGATAATGTGAACTTAGATGAATTTAAAATTGTGTGTTCGGATGGGATTTGAACTTATGATCCAGATAGCTCAATTGGTAATACAATACACGAAATGATGTGACCGTGTGTTTGAGTATAAAAAAGTACATATTATTAAAAAAACGAACGCAGGCAGAGTTGTATGCACCATGGACGATCTCCTCATTAATTTCGACAATTATTTTCGTTCGTTGCAGTGGATAAAATATTTTGAATAAATATTTATATAAATTATTTTTGGTTACAAAGTTAATGCTAAATGAATTTTAGTATGATTTTTCTACATAAATTCCTACGTCATTTTAGAGCTGCAATTAAAAATTCCTAGTTGTTATGTTATTTAATTAATTACCAATAACAATTATGTAGTGCTTAAGCTATAAAATATAAAATTTCATATAAAGGAAGTGTTCATTTACAAAAACACGTTTCGTTTCACTCACCTTAAATCTAGATAAGTGAGCGATTGGAGTCCACCAACCGCATCAGGTATATTCCGTATAACATTTTGTGAGAGTAATAACTTTTCTAAAAAAATATACGTAGTCACTTCGTCGGGTAATTCACTAAACCGATTCTTTGAAAGATCTGAAACAAAGAAAAATTACTGTTATAGTAAGAAAAAAAAAATAACAAATAAAAAATACATTTGCAGTTTTGTGCTCGGAGGAAAATATAATAATCATTGAACTACAGCTCAAATAAATTTACATATAGGTCAAACACTTCAAAAGTATAAACGGTTCTGTGAAGGTGGCCTCGTGTATTATATTATGGCTATTTCTTCTAGACAACTTATTATAATAATCTTAATATAGTCATTGAGTTATCAAGTTATTTCAGGTAATCTGTGACACCTGACATGCATTTATCATTATAAAGATTTACGTCTACATAAATGTTGACAAAAAAGATTAACCATATATAGATTTATAAATAATTTTTCCAAAGTGTAAAAGCTCTGGAAGAGTTTGTATACAAACACACTGAGATATTTTCATTTCTTACGCAAACCAGTCGATAGGTTCGTTGGCATCAAACACACGCCCGCGCCGGTTAGATAATATTACCCGACCGACCGCAACTTCTTAAATGAAAACTCAAATAACTCTTCGAAATACAAAACAGTCATCTATACAAACACTATAAATAAATAGTTTATAATCTTCGTTTAACCATGTATAAGAAATGCTAAAAAATCGTTTGAGTTTTATCTATATAAAAATGTGTGAAGATAGAAATTTGAAACTGGTGCGTTCTTTTTAACTATTGTAGGAATATATAAAGACAATTTAGCAGATTATATAGTCTTAGAACACATATCCGTTAAATCGCGTTTTAAACCGTTAAAGTGTTTTATTTAAATGTGTACTACTCGCGTAAACTATAGACAGTATTTAGTTATAATAAATGGTTATTTTGCTCGGTAAACTTTATATATACTCTACCTGTAAAATGTCTGAACCCCAGTTTACCTCTGTGCCTCAAGATGGCTCTTAAGGCTTAAAAAGCTAGAGACTATTCTAACGCATAATATAACATTAAATTATGAAATTAGTTTTATAATTTAAAAAACTCACTTAAGAATATCCTTTTAAAACTATTCGTTATATAGGTACTTATAAGTACCGTCTCAGCTGTTTTGAAACTTGTTTTAATCTTAGTATTTCACTTTATTTCATAGAAACTACAGTAAGAAATGTATTCAAAAGAGAGGAACTTCAAAATAACATACATTTTTCTTTCATGCGTCTTTCAAACGGTATAGAAATAATGTTTTCGCTCGAAGGCAACATTATTTGCACGAATAATTTCAGTGAGAGCAAAGTTTATTTTTGTTAAAGGTTAGCCAAGTTATGGACAAAGGAAGGGCGAGAGGGGGAGGCTAGTCATACGTGACTGGCATTGTACCCATAAAAGGTTACCTAAATATAGTAGATAAAATATAGCAGATTAATATTCAATGAATTCTGGCTTGAATACCTATTGACATGAAGAGCAATTTTTCTTCTTTGTATTATTTATGTTTACGTCAATTGGAAAGCATAGATAATAATCCCTATTTAAGTGTATATTCGATAGATCTTTTATTTTATTATATTAACCTCGTGAGTTTTGACGAGATCGATTCAGACGATGTAAAGAACGCGGTTATTGTTGAATAAATAACTCACACTATTTACTTGTGCGATAAGGTCAAATTAAAATGAAACTAACTAATAAATAAGAATAAAATCAATATAGCTTATAAATTCAATGTATGCATAAAGAAAACTGATGCATTTATAGAAACAAGTAGTTATTGTGAATGCAAATTGAATTTCCTGCAACAATCATTTTAATGACGACAATAACTGAATCAATTTTCATACGTACTTTATCAGGTTGACACACATTTGAATTAACTCTTTAATTAGCGCGATCTTTGAACTTTATGGACGTTTTTATAATACATAGATATTTTTTGCCTGTATTGTTTCTGAACTATTGTATATCTAAACTAAATCTTTAAAATGGGTATATACCTTTAATTGTTATAAGGGTCTCATTGATGTTACAGACAAGCAAACATTGCAGACGAAAGAATGTACAAATATCAACGCATAAGTATATCTAAAGTTTTTATCACTATTCCGTAACGTAACAGACACGAAAACCACAGCAAATTCCAAACTCGAGATGATATTGTACCGTACAGCGAAATAATTAATTTTTAAAGTCGGTTTAAAAAGTACACTACGTACAAATTAAGTAGGTTTAACATACGTCTTATCTATTTATGTGTTCCTTTTTACCATGTAGTTTGCAGCTCTGGTTTCCAAAGCCACGTGCTTATTGCTAGGTGAATTATATATTGCTTAAGGTAATTCCAAATGTCGAAAACAACTACAATTGAATATTTAAAAACGTGTTTCGTTCCGTACATCAACGGCCTCGAAAAATAACCGTCGCGCGACCACGTGCTTCTGTACGTTCCGTCTCAACAGCTGATTTTCCTCTTAGCTCTCCGCCGTCGCCATATTTACATATTCATGTTGTTGAAGCTCTCCATAAGCCTTGTAATTGCAGCTTTCAGTTATTCCTTGTGCAAAATCATGCTCCAGTTTTCAGGGCTTCACAAAAAATCCTTTGAATGGTCTCAAAACACCGAAGAGTACGCAAAGATTACGCAATCCTGAATCATGCTCCGATTAAGAGAAAAATGTCGCCTCATATCAATTTTTTTCCCCAAGAATGGAAAAAAGAAAAAGTGGTTCCCTTTTTTAAAGTTGGAAAGTACTAATTCCAATCACAGGACACAATATAACCAAAGAATCAAGAAAATTGTATGAAACGTTATATTGCTGATGACAGTCTGTGAAAAGTCTAAAGTATTTCTTTTGTCGATACTGGTTGTAATAGCTCTATGGCAAGTCCTGTTTTTTCTATTCTTTAGGTATATGAGTTTATATAAACCAATAGCCTAACCATAAAATAATGCATATAAAAAGGTTAGAATTGCATTTCCACGTAATACATGATATATATCAATGCGCCATTCTGGTGTGGTGCCAAGACACTCAAAGCTGCGGACTGCGGGCCTCTACAGCCTTGACCGGTTATCGTTTAAATCTGGGCAATCAGCTAAAGACACACTACGAGTAACTTCATTGCTCCAATTGACACAATAAAGAGAGACAAAACAAGATTAAGTAAACGAAGATAGTTTATCCTTTTGAATTGTCTACTATAATATAAAAAATATAGTATTTTTTTATGACATATTTGTAACGAAAGTAATTTTTTTGTTAACAAATTACTTAGTTAAAATATATTAGTAAGGTCGTCGCCGTACGTCGGTTGTACTCTAAACTTAAATTATACTGTGCTTATGTTATTCAATAACTACTATTTTTTATGAAATAAATATAATTTAGATTTCAGAAAAAAACAGATTCGGATTCGGTTTAAAATAGAGATATTCTTCTTCATTTTAAAACGTATGACGTCATAACGCAAATATAAAAAGTAACGAGTATCTCAATATTTTATTGTATCTCAGTCCTTGCAGTTATATTACACGAGTAGTAAGATTAAAGTAAAAAATATTCCAAGAATGTCGGACACGTCATTAAGTACACGAAGCGTGCACACATCATCCTTATAAAACATGGGAGCTGCTTTATTTGCTCGTACAGTTGTACTATTAACGGTAATCAATGATGACTTGAATTACCGACCTACTAACTTTATAATTCAATAGGCAATAACAATAGGCCCGATAACGGAGTCTGTGACGACACGACAATGTTAAACTCACAAGATGTTGAAAACACTTTATTACATTAGGAAAAAAAACAAAACGTCCAAAGAATAATCCGAAACGTCGGGCTCTAGTTTAAATCTGCTTAATAAATATAATTGAGGTCTTAAATAGTGTTTTATATAATGTACACTATTAGCATAAACTTGCTGAAATTAGTAAACTTTGTGATTGAGTTAAGAGATCTTGTCGTTGAAATAGTAACAAATATATAATAAGATCAATGCAGGAACTTGTATTAAAGTTCAGGTTCCTGTAAGTTTCACGTGGTGTCTGATCAATATATCAGTCGGGACGTCGACCGGCCGGCGCGGCATGGCGTCACCCCAAACACAGCTGATTCCACCACCCCTCAGCAGGGTATTCACCCCTCGCCTCTACACGCCCCACTGTACTTTCGATCTCGGCAAATATATTCAAAAGGGAATTCAACATTCCGGTTTTTGCAATTCGCGTAAAATCCAATTTCCCGCAAATATCGTTATTCCATATCGTCGAAAATCTAGTTGGCGGTGGGCCAAGTTGTCATATTGTAAACAATGAATAAAACATACACGATTTTAACAGATATGTCTTACAAAGCAGTTTCTCAATCTACATCAGTCGAGGTCCGCGATGGCTACACGGAACAGCAGCAGCAACAATATACAAAGCACCTTAAGCAGCTACTGAATGAATTTCAAGGGCGTTGGTGTAAGAAACCACAGTCGGGCATAAATTTCACTGACCTTGAACACATTCGGACCCTCGGAACGGGGGCATTCGGGAGAGTCATATTAGTGAGACATTCAAAGACGAGTAAATACTACGCCATGAAGGTATTAGAAAAGGAGAGGATCATAAAAATGAAGCAGGTAGACCACACTTTGTATGAGAAACGTATTCTTGAGGCGATCAGATTCCCATTCACCGTTTCCATGGAAACGAGTTTCAAAGACAACAGTTATATTTATTTCGTGATGCCGTTCGTGTCAGGTGGAGAAATGTTCACGCATCTCAGAAAAATGAGCAAATTCGACGAACCCCTTGCCAAGTTCTACGCTTGCCAAGTTGTTCTGGCGTTAGAATATCTCCACTTTTGCAATTTAGTTTACCGCGACTTGAAGCCCGAAAACATTATGATAGATAGAACCGGATACCTAAAGATAACAGATTTTGGATTCTGTAAGGTACTGCAAGGTAGGACTTGGACGCTATGCGGAACGCCGGAATATTTGGCGCCAGAGTTAATTTTAAGTAAAGGTTATGGTTTCTCAGTGGACTGGTGGTCTTTTGGCGTTCTCTTGTTCGAAATGAATGCGGGTTATCCACCCTTCTATGCCAACGAACCTATGAAAACATATGAAAGAATCGTCGCTGGCAAATATAGATGTCCATCGAGCTTCAACGCAGATCTAAGAGATCTAGTAAGAAATACTCTACAAGTTGACATAAGTAAACGCTTTGGAGTGATGAAGAACGGTGTAATGGACTTTAAAAATCACAGATGGTTCAAGGGTATGGTATGGGAAGCTATTTTAAACTGTCGTTGGCCAGCTCCTTACGTACCCAAATGTAAGCATCCCGGAGATTCCACTAATTTTGATAGTTATGATGAGGAGCCTTTGCGGCCGGATTCATACTGTCGTTTTCAGTCGGAATTCCTAGATTTTTAGACGTTTGAATACGTGTACTATTTATCTATACTACTCAATGAGTAAATAAAGTAAAATATTATTAGTTATAAGACCAATAAAGGTTTAATGAATTCACCGATATATTGATTTAATAACAGTATAATTCAAACGTAAATGGACTATTTCAGATTTTCAAAAAAACATTAATAAACACATGATCTATCTTTATGCTCTGTATCGACCTTTGAATGGCGATCCATCTTTTAATATTTATTTGTACAGTGTTTTTTACTACTAGAACTAGAACTCGCAACCTAAATGTTACGATAAAATTATAACGTTTTAAATATTATATGTTACCGTTATCTTTTTATTTACTTAAATAGTCTTGCTGAGACGTTATCAGACTAAATAATGAAAAGAAAACATCCTCTTCCCTAACCGCTTATCTTCGAATTTGTTCGGTTTGTTTTTTGTTGTGCACTCAATTTAAATGTGTGATTGAGCACGTGCTTGCTCCCCTCACGACATGCGCCAGCGCAAAACCATAATTTTTTTTTATTAAAATGTTTTTTTTTTTTTTATTTTATTTAAATCTAAAAGTTTTTTTCTTTTTTTTTATAAACTACCCCATACTTCTTTGAGAATTAATCTTAAATTTTTTTTTTTAAAACACTAAAAAACCCTTATAAATTGCAAATATTTTTCACTTAAACTCTTCTTTAACTACCTTACAAAGATGAGAAAAATTGAGATGGGAATATAAAATTTATTAAAAAATAAATTTTTTTAAATTTAAACAGAGTTTAAAGTAGTGTCCCACTTTACAAAAGCAACCAACTCTAACAACTAGTTACCACACACACAAAAAATTTATTTTAAAACTAAATTTCCAATAAAAAAAAATAGGGTATTTTTATAAAGTATTATGAAGCTTTTTATTCTAATCTTTAAAAATAGTTAAATTTGTTACAGAGAGACTTACTTAAGCTAAAATATAAGTACAGTTGTTAATTAATAATAACATGAAACCGCCTTTTTAAAATTGTGCCTGTTGAGGTTTTAGAAGTTTTAATGTTTTGTTTTATCTTATTTTTTATGGTGGTAAAACAACTTCTTTGTAATAAAAGTTGAGTTTTTGATTTGTTTTAAAAATTACATAGTTCAAAAGCAAGGATTTTTATGTTATTCTTTTTAATGTAAATTATTATCTCCTCAACATTGTATGATGAACATTTTTAATAATACACTTTTATTTTTTTTACTTCTGGCCTTTTATTGAAAATAAAATTTGAATCGTAACAAATATTTTATATGCAAAAGGGACTTATGTGCTTCTACTCATTTCGCTACAGTTACCACAAACAAATTAAACACACTTAAAGTTAAATACCATCTATACATATAAAACACAAGTTAAAAGTACTTAAATATTAACAAAAAATAATAAATATTTATGTACTCTCCTAAAATTTTTTTGAGTTGTGGTTTTGTTTATAAGCAGCGATGTATAGAGCGTTTAGAACAGGGGCGTCAACCGTTTGAATTTATTTAAAAGAGGCACTCTTTTTCTATTTCTTTCGCACGTTAATTGTGATTATGTTAATAAAAAAAGACATTTTAAGTTCCTACAGATTGTATTGATTTTGATTGTATGTCTATAAACCACAAAAGGACGTTTAACAAATGTGACAACCCTGTTGTGAGCATACGACAAGCGTTTATTTTTAAATAACCTTAGGGAGGAGTAAGCAATTTCAAATGTGTCAATTCATTGAAGATCACTAACCTAATTGTATTGCTTGACTAGTTCTAATTACGATATCAATATCGCGCTTTACTATGGAACTGTCGCTGAATAGAGTATTTGACCTAAATTTTATTACGCCCGCTAAGCTCAGCGTGTCCAATGAAATATGTAGGTAAGTGTATTGAGTTGATTTGCATTTTGATAAGTTAATCTATTGTTGTCTGGTGAATGAATAGTACCTATATTCTTGAAAGTAAGGTCGGATGCAAACATTGTGTGTGTCTAAAGATAGGATGATTAAGAAGTTGACTACAATATTATCAATACAAAGAAAGCCTGAACTATATTTTACGAGCTCCTCGATGTAATGTATATATATAATTATACCTATTACTGGCGTGTCGTGAGTTACATTTTTTTCTAAAAGAACGTTTTAAACCTAATCAGGAAGACTGTTAATGGCTATATAACCTGGCATTTTCTTTATGCTTACCACAATAAAAAAAATGCCAGATTATAAATTACTGGAAATTATTGGAAAATCCGAAACGCCAGAATAAATCAACAGCAATATACATATACATATAATTAATGTAAGGCTGAAAAATGTTTATCTTTAAATATGTCAAACCCATGCTGACCTATTATAAAAAATTAAAGCCTTTTCAGTATAGTTAGTATTCCTAGAATCTCAAACTAACAATTGTATATGCGTGTAGACGTGGAGAAAACATATTTACATACACTAAATGTCAACTTAATAGCCAGACATAAACCCAGTTCATTACACGCTTAAGAAAGGACCATTATGTTAGCACGATCAATATAAGAGAGAACTGTAAAGATGTATCACGTGTTATGAGGGAAAATGTTTGTAATAAAGAAGACGTATTTAACGTGATAGTAGGCTTGCCTTACACCATCTAATTTCGCCCCTGTTATAATATTTCTGTAAGTAGCAATCATTTAGAGTGTCCGGACACTAGTCTCGAGGCCTCGGATGCAATTTTAGTAAATGTTCTATTCACGTTTTGCGCAAGCCGACTTCAATGTTCTGTCCGCTCTCCCACACGGTTTTGTCGTTATTAAGAATGAAATAAATGGTATTATACCGCATCAAATCTACGACAGAGCTATAGAAAATATTTAGATCTTAAGACAGACTTTTTACAACTGTATATATATTAGTTTTCGTAAAGGGTTGGTCAGACGATACCAACATATGCTGCCGTATGTTCAAAGCCAAAAAGGGGTCGATAGCAATACTTGTATAAAAGCTATATGGCTATATTTCACCTTCCATTAAGTGACTCCCCTGTTTGTATTTCGTCCTCTGTCAATATGACAGAACGAATATAAGCAGAAATAGCGACGCCTTTAAGTAATGCCCTAGTCCGCGACACACAGCAATAGATTAACATACAAATAAAATAGTAAGTACGAACTGTGCAAATCAACAGATTATAACATTTAACTGCACAGTTCTGTGTGGGATTGATTTATTAGAAACACTCCGAACTACCAGACAAACTGGACATTTAACGTTTCCTCAATAAAGGCGTGATGAAAGCCAGTATTAGGCATCAGCTGCGCCGACGCCGACGCCAATATTCATTTGAATACAATTTTCAACCAAGATAACACTAACACGAACTGTCATATTATTTGAAATTACATACAGATAAAATCGTAGATTATTTACTATTAACTGTTACTGTAAGTATGGGGTACTGTCAGAACAGTAGTTATCTAATAACGGTATTTATTGAATCAATAAGGTAAAGAAGAAAAAGAAGTTGGTTTAGGAATAATTTTCGTGCTTACTAGTATTTAAGTTTTAATATAAAAGATGATAATTTATTTAATTATTATTTTATTTCTAAGAGGCTTGCCAACTACTTACATAATAAAAGTTTAATATTATTTATGTGACGATTATGTATTTAAATTATAGGCAAGCGCAACGTTGCTATGACATTAGATATAGAATATATAAAAGAAAATTTAAATATGTAATTTAATAATAATATGAGAAGACAAAATTATTTTTTAATTTAAGAAATTAGGAGAAAACATTTATTGTATTAAGTATATATTTTTCAAACATTATTATATAAATGCATAAACTGTTGTAACGGAGTATAATAATAGTGGAATGACCGCCCATATCGTCGATTCTCAAATGAGAGACATATCCTGCGCATACGTTGAGCTTATAAGGAGTAGAAGGAACTTATCCATCCTTCAGTGTCGGACGCACATGTCGATAGTCGTGTTCAGTCAAGCATATATTTCTCGATTCTAGATACAGAGGTTTAATTTAAAAAAGGATTTGTTGACTATTTAACTAAACGTAATGAAATAATTTAAAAAAGTTAAACGTAAAAGAACTCGATGTCTGTAGTTTACACGAGTACCTACTTACTACAAATATGAATGATACAGATTTATCGGTTAAAAACGCGTAAATTAAAAAGTAAGTCAACTAAAACATATGACTACATTTTTGTTGGAATTTCTTCAAATGAAATCTTTTCTTGTAATTCTTGTGGTGACAAACTATTTTTTGTTTCTTTGCAACAAGCGTTTTAAACAGTTTTACTGTATTTTATTCTATTTATATTTATTCGTTCTACTATGGAAAGAAAAATAGTAAACTTTGACTTTGAATATTATCTAAAGGATACACAATGATAAAACTCGTTAACTTCAACCATTAATAAATTCCGCCAATCACGGTCTAATTATAAACGTCCATAAAATTCATCAAAAAGATCATTCATGCGATCAGTGCTAACATTAAACGCAATTACAACGTCCACGAGCGCCGTCCACGAGCGCTTACGTACCACAGGTCTGGACAAGACCACCGAAATAGATTGCCTAATAGGCAGCCGAATCAGTATCCAAACAATAGAGGTATAAAATTAAACAGCGAAGTGTTTAAATCTGCGCATGCCATGTTTTCTCGATTGCATTTTGATTTCTTTCTTTAACTTATTTTTCTTTCGCGCAACCAAATAAATGGTAATTTTATCAATTATTTTAAGTTATATAATAATTATATTTAAACAAAACACACCTAATTTCAATGTAGTTATACGGCCCAAAATTTATGTTGTTTTACAGCAGCCGACTTCAAGACGAAATATTTCACGTTTTAAACCGTTAAAAGTATTTTATTTAAATATGTAATACTGGCGTTGTGAGTTGTGTACCATTTTATCGTAAGTAATAGCTTTTACTTGTATTGTTTCTGTAAGAAAAACATTATTTTCAAGATAAAAAG